GAAAGATGACTTGTGATGTCCTGAAGGGACAACACTATTGCAGGGAAAGACAGCTCCATCATGACTATATCCAAGCTTCAGCGTGAGGGCCTCCAGTCAGCAATGAGCAGAATAAATCTTGGTAAGAATTAATTTGTAAATGAATTTACAAGAGCAAATGAATTGATTTTGGGGTGATAATTTCACTCTAAATTTGATAATGGAGTGTTATATCCATATTCAAGGCATTTTCAACATTGGGCATTGTAACATTATAACACTGTGCATTGTAACATTTTAGCATTAAAAGCATTTGACATCATTTCCTAAGCTCTGCTGAACTATTTTAGACCATTTGGACAGGAGCAATTTGGAACAGAAAGGAGAATAAGAGGAAAACTTCAGCCAACTATAGAATTGGGCCCTGAAGCTAATTTAATTAGCTCTTCTGGCCAATTTAAGAGCCTTCTAGGGGTAAAAGTTTAAGTGTCCTCCAGTAGTTCCCATAGAAAATAGAAGAAAGCAGTGTGTGGTATTAGAAGAGAGCTCTCCTGAACATGGGTTGGCACTAGTCTCCTTTCCTAAGAGAGGCAGGCCGGCACCGGTCTCCTCAACTGAGGGAAACAGACCCCTGGTTGATCACAGGTTGTGATGATTACCCTAAATGGGTTATAGTAGAACAAAGACCTAGAGAATGTTAGAGAGACTTATCTCCCAGTCTTCACACTTCAGCAGAAGGATGAAAACCTCCATTCCCCAGGTAGAGAGTGGGAGAAACACTACTTATTTCTGGCTCTAAGTTATTCATACATACCTAATCAATGGGACTGAGGAAACCACTGGGTACATGAAGTTCAGCTCATCCTGAATTTTCTCTAATCTTTTCCAAGTGATTCTTCCAGGGGAGAAATATCTTTTTTAATCACTCATACAGTCAACTTCAACTTCCCAGGACATATTCTATCCTAAAGAAGGAAGGCCTCTCATCTTGGGAAGTAATTTACATTCAGAGATACTATATCTGATAGCCCATTTCGGGATACAAGAAACATCATTTCTCCAGTTCAGCCTTATCCATGTTAAAGCTGATACTTTTCAAATATGTGTGATACCTGAGACTGCTTCTCAATTGGCACCACTGTTGAGAGAGAGATGTGCTGTTTATTGCCCCCTTTAAATCTTCAATAAACTTTTTCTAAGTTCCTAGCAGGCTGAGAAGCAGATGTTAAAGATGCCACCAGGCCAAGACAGAAGCAGAGATGATTGTTGATGTTCCTTTTGGATGAATGAGTGGGTAGGAATATGTCCTGTAAAATGAGAACATAATCTCTTGAGCACAAAATGGGATGAGGCATAACAATAAGAAAGAGACATCTGACAGAATGTAGAGTGTGTTCTTACTTATTGGTTGGTCAAGAATATCTCAGACCACTCTTTTTGTCTGTACTTTTAGTTAAGAAAAGAAGAAAGAAACTCAACTATAAACATTTCAGATGAACATCCCATATCCCAGCAAGAATAGTGACCCTGCTTGTTGCATGTAGGGTGTTTAGCCTTATACATGCATTGCAGTATTGGGCATTTGACAGAGAAGATAGTCTTGAGCCCTTTATTACAATGTTTGCAAAAAGCACTTATCTCTCTAAAATATTGGAACCACTTATCTCATTTTCTCATTTATTATTTTACCTCTGGTTTGTAGTTGGATTTTTAAATTTTTTGTTATTGCTATATAAAAATTGTATACTTTTATACAGTCCTGTGTATCATTCTTTTGCTTTATAGTTTCCAGTTCAATACCATGTTTGACATAATTCTGCCATTTAAATGCTGTCTTAAACATAATACTCTTCCAACTTGAGATTGTAAAAATTAAACTCAGCTCTGATTAGGATAACACGGTTAAATGTCAGTTTTTAGTTAGGCTTACAATTCTACCTCAAGTTAGTTATTCTTGTTCATTTTAATTAATATTTATAACTTTAAATGAAGAACTTGGGTAAAAAATATATATAAAGTGGGTAAAGGAGCTGTCAGCCTATCATTTTTTTAACTCGTAAGATTATTACTAATATTTGGAAAATTGCCCCAATATTTTTCACCAGCAACTAATGTAGTTTTTCCTTGATATGTCTTGTACAATTTAAGGTTAATTCAAATATGTTTTCATTAATATATATTGAGTGACATGTTAAGTAAGTACATTAAGTGATTTTTTATATCGCAAAAAGTTAAATTGTAATTTCAAACTATATGACAAAGCTATAGGAATCCAAACAGTATGGTATTGGCATAAAAACAGACACAGAGACCAATGAACAGAATTGAGAACCCAGAAATAACCCATGCATATATGGTCAACTAATATTTGACAAGGGAGCCAAGAATACTCAATGGAGAAAGAATGGTCTCTTCAATAAATGATGTTGGAAAAACTGGATACTCACATGCAAAAGAATGAAATTGGACTCTTATCTTACACTCACAAAATTAACTCAAAATGAATTAAAGACTTAAATGTAACCTTGAAACTGTAAAACCCCTAGAAGAAAACATAGAGGAAAGCTCCTTGACAATGGTCTTTGCAATGATTTTTTTTGGATAGGACACCAAAAGGACAAGCCACAAAAGCAAAAATCAACAAGCGGCACTACATCAAACTAAAAAACTTCTGCACAGCAAAAGAAACAATCAACAAAATGAAAAGTCTACTTATGGAATGGGAGAAAATATTTGCAAACCAGATATCTGATAAAGGGTTAATATCCAAAATACATAAATAACTCATACAACTCAATAGCAAAATAACACAGAATCTAGTTAATAAATAGGCAAAGAACCTGAATAGACATTTTTCCAAAAAGAAGACATACAAATGACCAACAGGTTCATAAAAAGGAGCTCAGCATCATTAGTCATCATAAAAATCAAATGAAAACCCAATGATATATCTCCTCACAACTGTTAAAATGCCTATCGTCAAAAAAAAAAAAAAAAAAAAAAAGAGCTAAGAAATGCTGGTGAGGATGTGGAGAAAAGAAAACCCTTGTGCACTGTTGGTGGAAATGTAAATTGCTGCAGCCACTATGGAAAACAGTATGGAGTTTCCTCGAGAAATTAAAAATAGAACTACTATATGATCCAGCAATCCCATTTCTAAGTGTATCCAAAGGAAATGAAATCACTATCTTAAAGAGACATTTGCACCACCATGTTCATCGTAGTATTAATCACAATAGTCAAGACACGGAAACAATCTATGTGTTCATTGATGGATGAATGGATAAAGAACACACAATGGAATGTTATTCAGCCATAAAAAAGAAAGAAATTCTGACATTTGCAACAGCATGGATGAAACTTGAAGAAATTATGCTAAATGAAATGTCAGATACAGAAAAATGCATATTGTATGATCTCACTTACATGTGGAATCTAAAAAACCCAAACTCATAGAAACAGAGAGTAGATTGGTGGTTGCCAGAGGATGGGGGAAATGAGGAGATGTTGGTCAAAGTGTAAAAACTTCCAGTTATAAGAAGAATAAGTTCTGAGGGTCTGATGTACTGTATTGTGACTATAGTTAACAGTACTGTACTGTAAACCCGAAAGTTGCTAAGAAATTAGATTTTAAATGTTCTCACAATAACAATAACAGCAAATATTAAAAAATTTCCTGGGCATCTCTGAAAAATGGAAAATGACCTGTGACAGGAATAAAAGTAGATCACCCTTAGAATTTTCAACAATAACACCCTTTGCCAAAGAAAAATGGAGTAACAAATTAAAGATACAGAAAGAATAAAATGTGATTTTCTGTCTGAAAAATTATTATTCCAGTAAAAAGAATAATGAAACTGTTAACTAAGGAAATGTCGTTTTCATGGGCCCTTTCTGAAGAATTTACTGGAGAAAGATTCTCAGACAGCCAACAGTCTTCTCTTTCATACCCTCTATTTTTGTTGTGTCTGGTGAGTTCATAGCTGACATTTATTCTTTCACAACACACTACTCTCTTTCACTCATCTCATCACTGACATTTGGGAAGCTTAGTGAAAGACATGAACTGAGTGATATTTTGCAGAATGCCCTGCTCTCTTCCGGTACTCACCAAGCCAAAGAGAAGCCTGCCTTCCATCAGGACTGCCCCTTCTGCAGCCACCCACACAATGTGAATAAGTGTGCCCAGTACTCCCCTCTCTTCCTTAGTTCTGACCCTCCTTTCCTACCTGAAGGCCTGCCATAAGCCCCCTGGTCAGGACTGATCATCTCCAGTTTCTCTTCCATAATAATGTCTGGAGAAATAACAGTCACTCCAATAAAATAAGGGGAACTATTAAGCCCAAGAAATTAATCTCTTCTTCCAACAAAGCCCAGCTCGAACGCTTCTGCTTTCCCACATACCCAGAGAAGAATTGCCAACTGCTAATATATTCCACATTCTAGAATATATCCATAATAATGCAAGGAAGAAAACACCAGTCTGCCTGGTCACCTTGCAAAGGCAATGTTATCTGTAGCAAACACCATGGTATTAGAAAGCCTTCCTTTAATATTACCTGTAACAATTCAGAAAGAGCCAAATCCAGACACTCATGTGCATAGCACAGGATCCACTCATCCACATTGCTCAAGGGCCTGTCTTTAGGGTTTCCGGCCACACAGACTTCCTTGTGATATTCCAGCCAAACTGTCTTCAAATTCGCACTAGCCCTACACAAAATGGAACAATAACATAAGACCTACACTAGTTCTGAAATAACTGGCAGCTGATGATACTGACTAATCTTGATCTTCACTGACTGAGAAGGATGACCTGGCAACTGCTGAATATAATAGAATGATCAGCAGCTGAAAAGGCAACCAATGCAGATGACCTAAAAAGATGTTTATGGAAACACAGTACCTTCTTGCCAAATCTTACAAACAAAAGGCAACAAGGCTAGTGAAGACCAGACTAGCCCTTGATTTAGATGATTAAAGAAATTCTCCCAAAGTGCATAGCAAAAAAAAAAAAGCTAGATATAAAATGAAAAATAAACAGAGAGAATTGATTCATGAGATAAAATGTTAATGTATAAGTTTCAGAAGGAAAGTGGAGAGAAATGAGCGTCTGAGTACTGTGAAGAAAAGTCCCTGTGTTGAAGAAAAATCTGAGAAAACATTCCAGCACAGAAACTACCTGAAAGTTAGAAGATTAGTGCAGTGCAATTGAGGCTTTGAAGGGGTATCAGACTATATTATTGGAGTGCATAATTGTAGCCACTAGTTTATCAGTGGGGGTGGTTAAATATATCTCTTAGAAGTAATAAGGCCTAAATTGAATCTTGCAGAAGATTCTAGAAAGAGGAAACAGCAGACAGAAATCTTGGAGACGTAAATTAACATGATTCATTCAAGAAACTATGTATTCAATTTGTTTGGATCTAGAAATCCTACGTTGGATTCTGTGTCGAATTTTGCTCTCACTAAATATCATAATCCCCAAGGATAGTAATAAGAATAGAAAGTTTATTTCACCTGTGTTCTACAACACCAAGACTTCCCTGATTAAAACCATATGCAGAGAATCTTGGAGGATCTCTGGGGCATGAACAGTCAACCTTCTGTCATCTGTGTGAGCCCAAGTGTGTGTTTTCCTCATACATTTCAAAATTAAACCGAAATGATCTCTATATCATCAAAAATATTAGCTAAATATCATACCCATAGTTACACACACAAACAATACAATGGAAGAAGAGAGAAACAATCTCACCATCAGACTGAATATCAAATGATGAAGGAACATTTCTAATATTTGCTCTGACTGCTTGGACACGGTTCCTTCCAAAACAACCCAAGTCACACGTTGTACCTATTAAGAATGAGACACTAACAACATCCTATCCACACCATCCCACTGGGCGAAGTCCCACAAAGAAAGAAGGGATGTACCTGACCTGACCTGACCTAGTCTACCAGGTGATGAGGTCCATCCAGTGTGGAGCTCAAAGACTCCATTGTTCTGCTTGTCTTTATAAAGGAAGCCACCTGGGTTCTCCCAGCACAGAGTTGGGAGCAACTCCAGAGCTTCCTCCAAGATGCTGCTGGTCCTGCTCTCAGTGGCCTTGCTGGCCCTGAGCTCAGCTGAGAGCTCAAATAGTGGTAAAAACCAAAAAGGGGGTGGGGGCTGTTGTGACTCTGCTTAGGGCTCAGGAGATCATCTGTAGTGAGGAATGGTGTGGGAGGGGAGACAAATTAGAGGAAAAAGGAGGCTGCATAGTTCTTAAGATAAGGATAAGGCCAGTAATGTCCTCATTTCATGCCAAGGCCTTATATTTTATTTAAAGTGCAGCTGGAACCCAAGAAAGAATTTGGCAGGGGAATGACAAGGTCATATTTGCGTTTTTAGAAAATTCTGACCGTGCTGTGAAGGATGCGTTGGAAGATGGCAAGACTGGTACAGGGAAGGCCAGTCGTGAAGATGTTATGGTAATCAAAGCAGGCAGTGGATGTAGTGGCCTTGCTGGGAATGCCATATAGATGAAGATAAACACACAGCAGAGCTATTTCAGAGATAGAGAAGAGGATATGAAATTTCTCTCTCTCTACATAGCAATATAGAGACACCAGGACCTGATGTTCTCATTTTTCTCCCTCCCATATTTAATATTTCAATGTGCTGTGAGCAATACGTGGAAGATTATATCCAAATGTTTATCCCTGGTAGCCCGGCTTTGAGAAAGCATGTTAACGTAAGTAAAAGTATTTAATGAAGAAAGAAGGCCGAAGTATACTAAAACATGAAATACCTCAGCACTTAGCTTAAATTAACTTCAGCGTTTGAGGGATCCTAAGGAAGATAAAAAGGTCCTTTTCTATTTTGAGTTTGTGGTTGACACTCAGCATAGTAACAACCCTGCCGCTCCCTTACATGTTGCTCTCTTTCTAAAGGCATCACGGACCATGGCTGACAAGTTAACTTAGAGTCCAGACAGATAGTGGTTGGCAGGGGTCCTTTCTCTGTAGAACAAGTGTGAGCTCTAGCAGATTTGGGACTTAACTTTTCACTTCATCTTGTGCATCTTTTCCTAGATGTCAGCGACGAAGAATATTCTGCCCTCATATCAGGTAAATCTCAATTAATCCTCAATATACATTCCTTCCATTCTCTTCTCAAGAACTTTTCAGTTCTCCCATGTCTTATTACCATCATTTTCCTGTCAAGAATTGATTAACGTTAATACCCCTAGCAATATAGGCAATCATCTACCCAACCTTGATTCTGGGGACTGTGAGCAGGACCTCAACTTGAATAACAGAGATGTGTCTGGGCTGGATGACAAAAGGAGTGTGCTACCTGTTCTCTCAGGCCAGCAATGACTGCTGAGAGGTGACAGACAGAGGGCAGGAGTCCTAATTCTGACTCCTCCATCCCATTGAGAACCAACCCCTCAACTGCTCCTGCTTCCCCAATGTTACTCTCTGGTTTAAGCAGTAGTGCAAGTAAGAGTCTTGGTCCCTTTACTCCATGTTTCTCCACTCAGCTGTGCCCCTGTAGCTGATAAAAATTTGCCACAGTTATTTGGTGAATCCGTGTGGGCCATCACTTTGTCTTTCTCTCTCTCTTAGTATTTCTCTACCCAAATCGTGGAGCCTGAGGCTTCCCCATGGAGCCCAAGTGGCCAGACAGAAGAAGCACATTTGTCAAATTATGTCAGTGGCCTGAAATGTAACTGGCAGCATAAGTGACATTAATCCCTTTGCTTTTCCTCTACACTTGGAGACATTCTCTGGGAATTCTAAGATATCTAAGACCTGCTTTTTCATCAAACTTAAACTCACATGTTTGTCTCATGAGCAAAGAACTAGAACTTCAATATTACTAGTATGCTGATGAAGAGGACTACTGCTAAAGGAAGTAGTGGGCAAGGGGGAGGTGGGAAGTTGAGGGGCAAATTCTGGGAAAAAGGGACTGTTGCGTATATTCATCAGAGTTCAATCTGAGAAGGGAGGCCTCCATCACTAAGTCATCTATTCTTGCGCCATATCCATGCAGACATAAAGGAACAAAGCCAGAACCCAAATCAGAACCATCAGAGACCAGCTCCCGGAGGACGCCCGCCTAGAGCCCCTTCCGACGGCGGAAACCCAAATAACAGCTCCCAGGAGCGACCACCCCGACCAGGCGGAAACCCAAATAACGGCTCTCAGGAGCGACCACCCCGACCAGGCGGAAACCCAAACAACGGCTCCCAGGAGCGACCACCCCGACCAGGCGGAAACCCAAACAACGGCTCCCAGGAGCGACCACCCCGACCAGGCGGAAACCCAAACAACGGCTCCCAGGAGCGACCACCCCGACCAGGCGGAAACCCAAACAACGGCTCCCAGGAGCGACCACCCCGACCAGGCGGAAACCCAAACAACGGCTCCCAGGAGCGACCACCCCGACCAGGCGGAAACCCAAATAACGGCTCTCAGGAGCGACCACCCAGACCACAGGGCAATCAAAATCCTCCTCCCCCACCTCCTCCTGGAGGGCCCCAGGGACCACCACCCCCACCAGCAGGACCTCCACCTCCAGCTCCTCCTGATAATGGAAACCAAGAGGATGCTCCTCAGGACAGAGGACCCCAGGGAGGAAGAGGCCCAGCAAGATCCCCTTCTGAGGGTGCTCCTCAGCAGCAACCACCCAGACCACAAGGCAATCAAAATCCTCCTCCCCCACCTCCTCCTGGAGGGCCCCAGGGACCCCCACCCCCACCAGCAGGACCCCCACCTCCAGCCCCTCCTGATGGTGGAAACCAAGAGGATGCTCCTCAGGACAGAGGACCCCAGGGAGGAAGAGGCCCAGCAAGATCCCCTTCTGAGGGTGCTCCTCAGCAGCAACCACCCAGACCACAAGGCAATCAAAATCGTCCTCCCCCACCTCCTCCTGGAGGGCCCCAGGGACCACCACCTCCAGGAGGCCAGCCACCCCAGTAATATGGAATTCAATGACAGGTATGATTCTATTTCACTCTCCATCAAAGGCCCTAACGCCTACAGTTCTCAAACTTCACTTTGCCAATGAATCAACTGGAAACATTGAAATGGGATAGTCCTAGGGCCCGTTTCTAAAGATTTCTCTTCAGATATTCTAGAATAGGGTCAAGACTTTATTTTTAACAAACTGTCCAAGGAAATTTCAATTTTGAGAGACACTGCCATAAGTGGGCTTTTTTCCCATGATTACCTGTCTTAAATGGGCTGGTAATGAGGAAGTAGAGCAGTGTCCTCCCTTTGGTCCTCCCCTCTGCTCCTCCTCAGGCTCAAAGACTTCCCATCTCAAGTTTCCACCTGACTACTCTACTCAGTCCTGCCTCACAGTAGGCTTCTTGGGCCCAGTGTGCCTGCTAAATACCACTTTAGTTTTATGCTGTTAAATGTTATCTAGCTTTTAAAATATTTACTTTTAAATTAATATATGATCAAGGTAAATAAAATTAATAGAATGGTATGAAATTAAATCTTAAAGGCTTATCTCTTCCTATCTCCCCACTTCCCTCCCCCAAAGCCAACACTGTTAACCCTTTGAACATCCCCTTGGAAAAATTTATGCTTATATAAACATAAATTAATACTTTCTGCAAATGGTATTATAATTTATATGCAGATTTATTGTCCTCATTTCATATAAAATATTTCTTAGAAAGATTTCATTTTAGGTCACAGAGATATATGGCTCTATGTGGTCTTTTCTTGGATTTGTTTTACAATTGTATACTATTCCATTGTGTGGCTGTGCCAAGATTTCTTTAGCCAACCCTGTCAATGGACATTTTGGTCACTTTCCATTTTTTCCAATTGTAGCATATGTGCAGTGACCATCTTTTTAAATATTTCTTTGAACATTTTCAGTAACAACCAAAAGATAAACAACCTAGGAATAATCTCTTTCATTCATCTTGCAAGCAACTATTTAGAGCACATTATCTCCTAGGTGCATAAAAACAGGAAACAAAAAGAAATTAGGAAGGAACAGGCAGAGGGAGCAGGGGAGAGGGAGAAAGATGGGCTCTCACCTACTTCACTTCAGTAACACCAGCAATGGATTAGAAACTACCTGCCATGTCTTGGCTTCTCTCTCAACTTCCCTTTTTGTTTGTTTGTTTCAGAAAATGAATATGAAGATAAGTGTCCTTCAGAAAGCCTTCACACTGGAACAATGCAGTCTGTCTTCAATATGCCAATAAAATAATCAGCATCCAATTTCTGAGTGCCATCTCTCATTCTGGGTGTTTGTGAGTCTGGAATTTGAGGGTTGTGAACACAGCACAGGACCATCAAGACCCCTTCTCATTGATGCTTCTGGCAAGCTTCATCCTGGGCCACTTTCCTAGAAAACACTGTTGCTCTGTTCTTTCTTTGGGAACAGGAGTAGATCTCTCCTCTTTCTCCCTGCTATCACCTCCTCCCTCCCCCGGACACGTTTATTCACAAGCCAGCTGCCAACTGAAAGAATGCCAGTCTTCCTCCCTTCTCTGGATGCTACATCACAAATACTATTTCTCAACATCGTATTTCAGAGCTTTGACTGAAATTAATTTTAAAGAGACAAGGAAAATATAACAAATGTGAGGAAGTTGCATTGGCTGATAGAATTCTTGAAATTTACAAAATAATTTATCCTGCTCGCTAGGGAAGTGAATATGGTTCTAGGCCTCTGTTGCCCCTAAACCACTATACCCTGTTCTTTCATTTTTATCACTGCTCAATTCTATTGCACATTAGGCCCCCCACATTCTTTAACAAAACCTGGGTGGATTTCATAAAGGAGGTGGCATGATGTGTTTTAAAATAGAAGCAAGAAATTTGGAGTCCTTCAGTCATGTGTTGAAGTCCTAACTCTTTTTCCTCCAGCTCTGGACTTTTAGCACGCTACTTAAACTCTCAGAGCCTCAGTTTCCTCTCTGTAAAATGAGGGTGATTATAATACCTACCCTAAGGGATCCAGAGTAACAACATAAGGTACCTAAACACCTCACAGAGATTGACCCCCTCTCCTCCTTATAACTGTTTTAGGGAAGAACAGTAGACATGAAATTGTAAGGAATTAAATCCTCCCAAATTAAAATTTTTCCAATTGGTTTGTCAAAAGATCTAATCACAATATTCTCAGACAATGTCTGTTCCAGATTTTAAAAGGAAAATAAAATAAATCACTGTCTCTCTATCTCTATGTTTTTTTTAAAGAGTGGCCCTGAGCTAACATCTATTTCCAATATTCCTTTTTTTTGCTTCTCCTCGAAGCTCCCCCCCACCCAGTACACAGTTGTATATTTTAGTTGTAGGTCATTCTAGTTCTGCTATGTGGGATGCCACCTCAGCATGGCCTGATGAACAGTGCTAGGTCCATGCCCAGGACCAAACCAGTGAAATCCTAGGCCACCAAAGTGGAGCATGTGAACTTAACCACTAGCCACAGGGCCAACCCCCTGTCTATGTTTTGTTTTTTTTTTTTAGCATTTTCTGTCTTACCATTCTATTTGTAAAAGTCTTTTTAGTTTTTTGTTCTGAGCACCTACTAGTCTGTTGTGTGTATTGTCACACATTTAATATTGACTTTACGTCATGATAATTTGAAATAGAAAGTCTTCTTAAACTTCTACCAGATCAGGAAAGTGTTAATTAATATAATGAAGCGTTGCTTACATAATATCAAAGTTGGTCCACCACCCAAAATAAAGTATCTAGAATAAGAAAACATTAAAAAAATATTTTAACGGATTCCTAAGCTGGCTTTTAGACTAAAACAAAGAAAGAGACAAAGTTCTTAAAATTCTAATAAAGGAAAAAGAACGTAAAACAATACAAACTTCAGAAATGGAAACGAGAAATTAACTCTAGGTGCGTAGATTTTAAAAATAAGAAGAAAACATCATGTAAAACTCTATTCTAGTAGAATCTTTAATTAATTAAACATTAATGTGAATTGATGTAAATTACAAAATTTGACCCTAGAAGTTTAGGAAAAGTTGAATAGGAAAAAAACACAAAAGAACTGGAAGAAGTTGATAGGACACCTATCACTGTTACCTCCAACATCAATGGATGTAGCAAATTTTAATATCTAACTTTTTATGTCATGGAAGAACACATAATTCTTATAATATGTAAGTTATTCTCAAATATCGAAAAGGTTAACAAGTTTCTAAATTCATTCAGTTTGGATCACAAAACAAGATATATAGACCTGCAAAAATATTTCGAAGATATCTGTATTCCCATGTTCAGAGCAGCATTATTCACAATAGCCAAAAGTGGCAACCACGAAAATGTCCTTCCAGGGATGACTAGATAAACAAAATGTGGTCTATGCATACAATAGATGCAATATTGTGATTTATAAGAAATATATATAATTTGGTCATTCAAACAACAAAAATATATTTTCAGATACATTTGATCTTCATCTACAGTTCCTGGCTCACCGAATCTAAAACACTTGGAATGTCCTGAGTGATAAGAGCAATGGGAGAATCTTTTGTTATCATATTTGGTCTCTTGTCTTCAGTTCCTAAAAATGCTTCAGAGCCATAAAAGTGAAATTAGTGTCTTGTTATTCATAACAAACTCTTTCCACAACAACTCAGTTTATGTTAAGCGAGGTGACTTTTGCAAAGAACCTGAGGATGAGGACCAGTTGCCAGGGGAACCAACCATGTAATTAGAGGGTTGGATACTACAGTTCTACTCCCTGACCTCCAGGAAGGGAAGAGGGTCTGGAGGTTGAATCAATCACCAATGGCCAATGATTTAATCAATTGTGCCTTTGTAATGAAGCCTTCCCCAAAAAAAAAAAAGAGAAGGGAGTTAAGAGAGCTTCCAAGTAGGGGAGCCAGAACGTGTCCGTGTGCTACCATGCCAAGCCCCAAACTCCTCAAGGAGCGTAGCTTTGTTGTTCGGGATATTGCCCTCTGTATCTCTTCATCTGGTGATTGATTCATGTCCCTTAATAGCTTTTGCAATAAACCAGTACTCTAGCTAGTAAATTGCTTTCTTGAGTTCTCTCAGCCACACTAGCAAATTAATCAAACTCAAGGTGGGAGATGTGAGAACCTCTGGTTAGTAGCCAGTAGGTCTGAAGTACAGGTAACAACATGGACTTGCAATTGGTTCTGAAGTGTAGGGCAGTCTTGTGGACTTGAATGCTTAACCTGTGGAATCTGATAGTGTCAGAACTTGGTTAAATTGTAGAACACCCAGCTGGTGTTAGAGAATTGCTTGGTGGTGTGGGAAAAAAACCCAACACATCAGAATTGCTGATCAGAAAAATTAGTCACAAAACTAGGAAGTAATGGACTGGGATTCAAACCAGACCCTCTGGCTCAGAATCTGGGCTCTCCATACTTATGTTATGCCACTTTTCATGATTCAGGAAGACCCTTTGCATATTATACTCTTCTTTAGCTTCCACAGGGACTCGCAAGCTTGATTTAGGGGCAGATATTTGTAACTAAATGTATTAATTTCCTCCTTGCTGGGGAACAGGCGCTTTCTGCACTTTCCCATTGTGTATTACGTTAGATATGATAGATCAGTCCTGGTACCTCCAAGTGTGTCACAGTCAGTGAGCTGCATCTCCCTACAGAGCCTCCAGGTATTCATCTCTGTTGTCATTTTCATTTCTCGACTCCTCCTTTTGGGACTCTGATATGCCATTTCCTCATTCAAAGGCATAAAAGTAAAAGGGCAAAGAAGGATGTGTAGTTCCATGGAAAGCACTGGGTGGTACCTGAAATTGAGACCAGCTCCCTCACTGACTGACTGACTGATTTCTCAGAGCCTCGGCATCTTCCCTTAAAAGAAGTTAGGTGCATTTAGAACTTAACAATTTACTAATGGGTTTTGTGGATGTTCTTTCTTAAAGTGGAGCAAACAGTTCCTAAGTCACAAAATTAAAGATTAAAAGGATAGAATATGTAAAAGTGCTTGTGAACTTTTAAACTATTTACAGGGATTAGTTGTTAGCAACAATCATTACTACCCAGGTGCCAGAATTATGTAATAATCATTTCTATATACTGTGAGATTATTAGAGCAGAACTAGTTACAAATTGATACTCTGAGTTCAAAGATTAAGAACTGATCAGATAAACAGAAAATCTTGTAGGATTCTTTATCTTCCCATTGTCATAATCCAGAAGAACTATTTCAGACAGACTAGTAATCTCTATTTGGCTTACTAGGTAAGGCACAAAGAGCAGCGTGAGATAATCCAGTAGTTTTCACTGTATTCAAATGACAAGGGAAAATTCCTAGGCAAATCTTACAGTTTCCATTCATCGAAATTTGAAGAATCTGTTTGGGAGTCATGTAAAACTTCCTGGGTTTCTAAGCCAAGAAACACACAGGACCCAAAAACTGAGTGAGACGTTTGGAAGTTGGAAAGAGATCTCTGTGGCTTTAGTGAGACCTCCATGGCCTTACTATAAGGCCTCTGTGACTTTAGTGTGAGAACCTCTATGATCTTAATGAGGAAGTTTTCTGGAATCCTAGTATGAGATTCTCTGTGACTTTATGGTGAGATCACTGGGACTGGCATTAACCTGAGTCACTGAGGCTCAGCTTTTTGCACTTATTAAGTCTTGTGAAAGAGACTTAATGTTAGGGAAATAAGACTTTAGCTCTGATGAAGCCCATAACTAGGAAAGTACAATTTCAGTGTTTAGCTTTATGAGCACTGGGTGGACAGAACGATTGTTACTTCCTTGATGTTTCTTAGGAGTGCCACAAACCAATACTTTAAACTGAAAATGTAGCTAGATATGCAGAATATTGTAAAATTCTGATGAAAGAAATCAAAGGATATCTAAATAAGTTCAGAGATATTCTATGTTCATGGGTTGAAACACTCACTATTGATAAGATTTCAGTTCTTCTCAAATTGGTATATAGATTCAATGCAATACCAGTCAATATCCCAGCAAGCTATTTATAGATATGAAAAAGCACATTTTAAATTTACTTAGAGAGCAAAAGACCTAAACTAGCCAACACAACACTGAAGAAGAATAAAGTTGGAAGACTTATACTACTTGATATCACTACTTACTATAATGCTACAGTAATCAGGACAGGATGGTATTAACAAAAAAATAGACACATAGATCATAGGAACAGAATAGAGATGCCAGAAATAGCCATTGATCTTTGATAAAGGAACAAATGCAATTCAACGGAAAAAGGATAGTCTTTCCAAAAAAAGG